AGACACAACCTGTTTGCACTTCTCCCCTCAGGCAGACGCTACAGATCTCTACGCACTAGAACATCTAGGCATAAAAACTGTTTTTCCCCCATGCCATCTCCAGCTTAAACAGCTAACATATGAATCATTACCTGCGTTCTGTAATTAATTTCCATAATTCATTCTACATCCTTAATTATTGCCTTTTTCTCACACCTGGCGAATAAAGCTAATTCTGATTCTGATTCTGATTCTGAGTCATCTCTGACCGCTGTGAAATACTACATTAGGGCTGGGCGATGTGTCAAAAATATCGTATCGATAATCACCTTTAAAAATACCGCGGTATCCGATAATATTGTCTACTTAAGCCCCACCTCCACCACGCCCCGCCCCCGCTGAGACAACATTGCCAACATGCACCATAAACACAGACCATGTTCAGTTTGGTCTTAATTATTGCCACAAAGTTTGTTTTTTACTTTTCTTAGTTTGTGCTTAAACTAAACGAAAATGGTAACGCTTTAGATTACAACCCGCAAAGAACTACGTAAGTATACTGAGTTTACGGTGTACGTTTCTATAATTATAGTGTACCTATAAAGAACGTACGTGTAGGTATAAGGGAACAATGTGTTACGTTTAGATAATAAGGGGGTAACAACCAGATATGCAACCTGCAAAGAACTGCGGAAGTAAACTGAAGTTACAGCGTAAATTGCAAAGTGTTTACGAGTAATTTGGTCTGGCCTGTAGATCCAGTATGTCGTTCCATGCGCCAGCTGTTGGATATTCTGTAAAGCACAACACATTTATTTAAATTCTAAACAACGTGCTCACGGGATTCAGCGGCATTCCGTGGGAGGAGTTGCAGCATGCTGTGGGAAAAAACATGCATTCTTGATGGCCACATCTGTATAGAAAGGTGCAAAATGCATTTACTTACACATATTTCAGTAATGAGATATTACATGATATAGTTAACACGTTTGGGAATGTCACATGACAAGCATGACGACCCCCCCCACTCATGTCCCCTCAAAAATTATAAGTGCATGACGCCCCTGGCTACTAATGTAAACTTAGTTCTTTGAGATAACGAGAATGAGCATTGTGCCCGCGTGTGCTATAAAGCTGCACGTGAGTCGACACTGCTGTCACTTATCAGTCGAAAGATACTGAAGAAAACTATACTGTCTAAAAGCACCGTCCTTCAGATGAGCCACTTCAAACAGCATGCCAGTAGCGATTCAACGGACAAAAACAGAATTGTCAAAATGCTGGGTTTTGGCGAGTGACCTCGTAAACATGGTCTTAAATGAGTTCTAAAGTCCTAAATGACCGTAAAGAGTTGGGAGGTGTGTCAGATAAGCGTCATGTGCATCAGACTTTAAAGTGACAGTGCTGCTTTTAAAGTGAAATCTGATGAAGTCTCATTGATGTAAATCACAGAACAAAAGTAAAGAAATCACTCGACTGCTCTAGTCGCTGATTAAGTTTTGTAGCTTGAATAAAGATTAATTTATGCATGTACAATTTCTGGTTTATGTGAAGATTGTTTTAAGTTCACTTAAATTAAAAGTTAAAAATTATATTTTTCAGAACCTACTAAATGTTAAAAATAATGGCTTTCAATTATACTGTAACGCTGAATTGCTATAATTAATGGCTAAAATTGAGGGGAAAATGCATTTAATAGAGACATCAGTAGCAGTATTGCATTGTTATCAAAAATACTGGCCATTGTTAATAATAGGCTACTTAGTAAAAAGATGCCATTAAACACATACTTAAAATAAACCATCTTTATAATGTTTCTACATTAATTTGGAGGTTCAATGTGAAATTATGACAATATAAATATATTAATATGCAGTTAATTACAATTAATTATAGAAAATTGTATTATTATTCTAATCGATTCACAGACAGCACTAATGTTAACCTTTTATAGATGTTGGTGTTGATAATATTATATATTTTACTGTTGAATATGCATTTAAATTTAATTTCTAATTGTATAGGCCCCTCAGAAAGAGATCGGGACAGCCACTCACTCCCTCGGCCCCCTTCAAAATTTCAGTTCAATAATCCGGCCCTCAAATAAAACTGATTGAAGAGCCCTGGACTAGACGATGGAAAATACTTGATTATACCCTTAACTGTCAAAGATCGGCGACGGCCCCAGATTATTGTTGTTTCACTTCCACAGCACGTTAAAACATCACACTCTTACTTGATCTGGACAAACTGTGCATCGTTTGTAACTATATAACATGAAAAACACTGCTAGAGAGAACAACTTTTAAGTAAAACCTTAAAGTTACTGAAGCTTCTCCATGTGACAACTAGCCCCAGAAAGAAAGACAGAAAGCCATTTCTTTCCGCATGTTTGCATGAGAGGTTAGTTCTTCCCAAAACGGCCTAATTTCTTATTTTAAATCAATTAAAAGTTCGCCAGCCATCGCGTTCAGATCAATGCCGGCTCGAAGTCTTCCGGAGGCCCTTGTGTACTCGTTTGTTCCTGAAGTAGGTCAGTGGAGCATCAATGCTGCATTAATGTGCTCAAATTAGCCTCAGCAGACCCAGCAGACGCTTTTAATTAAAGAGGAAACAAACATCAAGGCATCGGGCCCAATTAAAAGATCAGCACACACAGAATAAGGATAGGGGACTGAACACACAGAGACTAGTGTTAGGAGGCTGAGAGACTGCAGATAATCAGCTTTACCGAGGAATGACTGACCGATACAGACGACAAACCAGCGTCTCTTCTCCGAAGAAATGGGTCATGTGAAGGGGAAGGCTTATTTAACTCATTAATAAAGGAAATAAAGCCATTTTGGCCATACACTACTTTGCATGACCGCTAGATGGCGCTGCGCACTTGTGGATCTGCAGATAGGCGTTCATTGATAAACTATTACATCTGAAACGTGTTCACAAACTAATAAAACTCAAGACATTTCTCAGAATAGCTTGAGAAACTTCAGACACGTGTTTTTTTTTTAGTAAAACACTGAAACCTTCCTAAATCAAAATTGACTCCACAAGTGATACAGGATAAGATACAAAGCCTTGTATTCCATAAAATTTGTTCAAATTAATAATAATAAAAAATATATATATATCTTCCAGTAGAATTAGAAAAAATAATAATGTTCTCCCTTTGAATTAAGTTAAGTTTTTCTGACCGCACTGACAGATATTTTGTTCTTGTTTTAAGTATAAACTCACTTGATTTTTATTTATTTATTTACTCAGAAAACAAGAGTTAATATGCTAAATCATTTGGTTCTCAAGCAAACGTATCTTGATTTAAAATATGTTTAGATATTTAGACTTTAAATCAAGTCAAAAATAAATAGCAAGAAGATCATTTTAAAAGTATTATTTATTATTTAAATCTATTATTATTTTTAAACTGCGTGATTTAACTCGAATCTGAAAACAGAAAGACAGTTTAAAATCTGCAGACGAAACACAAATCTTTTTTTATTTCAACAAATTGGACAAAAAAAGTTCTTACTAATATGATCAAATAATTATTGTGACGAACTACATGCAACATCACAGAAATGCTAAAAAAAAACACATATAAGTGTATTCAAACACTTATAAAGAGTTAAAAAAGAAGGCATGCATGTAAATGAGCGGCTGCTGTTATTCTGGGCACATAACGGTGCATTCAATACCTGGAGCGCAGCTCTGTTACAATATTCAGCCTACGCGATGATTGACATCCGCTTCATCCAATCAGCACCCGAGTCGATGACTTTACAATAGAACTGGGAGCCAGAGAGGGGCGGGGTCAGGCACAGACAGCCAATGGCAGGACAGGAGGGCGGGAGCTTTCTCATCTCGGGCTTTTGTTCTCCGTCGGGGCAGTAAAGTGAAGTTTGGGCAGCGTTATTCCGCGGGACATCCCGTATCAGAATCACAGGGATAGCATTAGAGCTGCTTTATTTCCTTGAGGAAAAGCTCTCAGGAGGATTTAATCGCAGCGAGCTTTCCTTTTCCTCGCAATGGAAACTCCATCATCATCATCATCATCATCATCATCAATGATCTTGAGAGGAACGCGAAGTTTTGCTGGATGAATGCTGACAGGATTTTACAGCGAATGAACCCCTTCTCCTCCCTAAAACGGGTTTTTAAGGATATCCCCGCGGATCTACAACTCTCTTTAGGAACTCTTTAGCAGAACTTTACCTCAAGTGTGTTTGAAACGGCAAGCGCGCTCTGGATACATTTCCTTTGATCGCTCTTTTTTTTTTGGATACAATGTTGCGAATCTGAGGTGAATGTATCAGGCTCGGAGAAACCCTGACTGTGATCATGGCGCTCTCAGGTAGATCTCTGGACACTTTGCACCTCATTTTATTCGTTTTATGGACTTTATCGCGCTACTCTTTATCCAGTCAAGTTCGGCAGGAGTTTGAGGTTCTGGAGGAGCAGCCGGTGGGCACATATGTGGGCACCATCGACACCAAACCCTCTTTCACATACAGATTCAGCGAACACCACAAACTTTTTTCCATCAACGCCACGACGGGCGTCATCTACACGTCCTCCGTGATCGACAGAGAAGTTCTGTCTAGTAACATCATTAATGTGGTGGTTCTCTCCAGCCAGCCCACTTACCCCACCGAGGTGCGCATCGTGGTTTTGGATATTAACGACAACGCGCCGGTGTTTCCTGACGCGTCCATCGTGGTGTCGTTCAAAGAAGACGCGAGCAGCGGGCGTCAGGTGATTCTGGACACCGCGACGGACGCGGACATCGGGAGTAACGGAGTGGATCACACCACCTACCGAATCGTCAGCGGGAACGATCAGCGAAAGTTTCGCTTGGATATCACCGTCAACCCGAGCGGAGAGGGCGCGTTTCTGCACCTGGTCTCCACAGGGGGGCTGGACAGAGAATTAACCCCCTTCTATCAGCTCCTCATCCAAGTGGAAGACAAAGGAGAGCCCAAAAAGTTTGGGTTTCTGCAGGTAAACGTCACCATTCAGGATATAAACGACAACCCACCTGCTTTTGACCAGGACCAGTACCAGACCAGTGTGTTCGAGGACACTGCAATTGGCTCTAGTGTTCTGCAGATAACAGCCACAGATCTGGACGAGGGTGCAAATGCTGATATAACATATTTTTTAGATGAAGGAACTCCTTTTCAGATTGACCCTAAGGCTGGGACTGTTATTATAAATGAGGGGTTGGATTATGAGACAAAGAAAGAGTATTCCCTCACTATCCATGCAGTAGACAACGGTGTCCCCTCTCTCTCAGGCAGGTCAGAAGCGACTATAAAACTGCTTGATGTGAATGACAATGATCCTGTAGTTAAGTTTCGATACTTCCCTACCACGTCCAAATTCGCTTCAGTGGATGAGAATGCACAGGTGGGCACTGTAGTGGCACTATTAACGGTTTCCGATTCCGATTCGTCCACAGCTAACGGTAATATTTCAGTTTCTATACTTGGCGGAAACGAACAGAGACACTTTGAAGTTCACAGTTCACCCGTCCCCAATCTGAGTCTAATCAAAGTAGCCAGTGTGCTCGACCGAGAGCGAATCTCCGCCTACAACCTCACCGTTTCAGTGTCAGATAACGGCAGGCCCGTAGCTCGCTCGTCTTTTGCCAGTCTGGTTATATTTGTGAATGATATTAACGACCATCCGCCCATATTTCAGGAAGCAGAGTATAGAGTAGACATCAGCGAGGACATTCCTAAAGGCAGCTACATTAAAGGGGTCTCAGCTACAGATGGAGACTCTGGGCAGAATGCCAATCTCCGCTACTCGCTGGTGTCTGGAAACAGTTTGGGCTGGTTTGCCATCAGTGAGAACAGCGGTTTGGTTACCAGCGCAGCAGAGCTCGATAGGGAAATAGCTTCTCAAATAGTGCTGAATATCAGTGCCAAAGACCAAGGCCTGCAGCCGAAAATGTCCTACACCAAATTAATAGTGAATATCACCGACGTTAATGATCAGGTCCCCACTTTCACTCAAAGCACATATCACATTTCATTAGTCGAGCATTTGCCGGCCGGCTCCGAGCTTGTGGATCTGTCCGCCACAGATTCGGATCTTGGTGCCAATGGCACGGTCCGATTCTCATTTGACCCTGAAACCCCCGTGAGTGTCCAGAATAAGTTCAGGTTGGATGCAATATCGGGGCGGTTGAGTACAGCCACAGAGTTAGACAGAGAAGAAGAGGGCTTCTATCTGCTGCACATCAAAGCCACAGATGCAGGAATGCCCCCCCTTTACACCATCTGCAAAGTCAATATCACACTGAAGGACGCTAATGATAACAGCCCAGTGTTTTACCCCGTGCAGTATTTTGCCAATATCAAAGAAAATGAGCCTTCAGGCTCATTTGTGACTAGTGTAACAGCTTCCGACCCTGACCTTGGCCTTAATGGCACTGTAAAATATGCCATCACTGCTGGTGACTCTTACAAGTTTCACATCAACAACAACTCTGGTAAAATCACGACTTTAGTGCCACTCGACAGAGAGGAGAAAACTGCTTATCAGCTGCAGGTCACTGCGACGGACGGTGGCGGATTGCGCTCGAACACGCAAGCTATAGTCACAGTCACTGTTGTAGACACGCAAGATAACCCGCCCGTGTTCAGTCAGAAAGAGTACAGCTTTGTTATGTTTGAGAACGTGGCCGCTGACACCATTATTGGCACCGTGTCGGCCACCACGGTAGATCTGAACACAAATATCACTTATTTGATCGCATCAGGGGACCAACGCGGTCTGTTTGCTATCAAAGGCAGCACAGGGCAGATCACAGCTTTGGGGCTGATAGACAGAGAAGAGCAGGCGTTTTACCAGCTCAGGGTGATTGCTAGGGGTGGGGAGGTTATGGGGGAAGCGTTAGTTAATATCACAGTGAAGGATTTGAATGACAACGCACCTCATTTCATTCACAATGTCGAGCATGTCAGCGCAGTGGAGAACTGGGCCACCGGTCACCATATATTCCAGGCTAAAGCTTCGGATCCTGATGAGGGGACCAATGGTATGGTCATATACAGCCTTAAACAGAACCCTAAAGGCTTATTTCATATCCACGAAAGACATGGATTGATCACCCTCACTAGCCCCTTAGAAGTCACCACCAGCTCCTACCAAGTGGAGGTCATGGCCTCTGACCTTGGCATTCCTCAGCGCACCACCAGCCTCATTCTCACCATCAGCGTGTACGACGTTAATGACAATGTGCCAGTTTTCGACCAGCTCTCTTACGAAGTCACCATTCTAGAATCTGAGCCGGTTAATAGTCGTTTTTTTAAGGTGGAGGCCAGCGATAAAGACTCTGGACTCAATGGGGAAATTGTGTATGACATCGTTAGCGGTAACACAAATGACGTTTTTGGGATTTTCCCTGATGGGCAGCTGTATATTAAAGCAGATTTGGACAGAGAAGTACAAGATCGGTACAGTTTATTAGTGGTGGCCAAAGACAGAGCCGTCGAGCCACTGAGCGCCAGCATTAATGTGACGATTCTCCTCGACGATGTCAACGACAACCGTCCGCTTTTCAACAGCACATATTATGTGTTCCACTTCGAGGAAGAGCAGGAGCGAGGCTCTTTCGTCGGGCTAGTTTTCGCCAAAGATAAAGACTTTGGACCGAACAGCGAGGTCCGTTACTCCTTTGAAACGCCGCAGCCAAATTTTGAGCTGAACGCTATCTCGGGCGCATTGACCAGTACGTTACAGCTTGACCGCGAATCTCTCATGAGACAGAGAGGTGCCGCGGTGTTCAGTTTCACAGTCGTATCCTCTGATCAGGGCCTTCCCAAGCCTCTCAAAGACCAGGCCAAAGTTCAAGTGTACATACAGGACATCAACGACAATCCGCCGAAATTCACCAAAGACATTTACCAGGCCTCTATCTCAGAATCCGCCCAGAATATGACGCAGCTGCTCCGAGTCTCTGCCTCAGACGTAGATGAAAATAAAAACGGCCTTATTCGCTACGACATCATGGAGGGAAATGAGGAGAAACAATTCAGCATTGACAGCACTTCTGGTCAAGTTACTCTAGTGGGAAAACTAGACTATGAGACAACACCCTTTTACTCCCTCAAAATTATGGCGGAGGACTCTGGGATTGTGCCTCTGTCATCCACTTGTGTATTGAGCATCAGTGTTCTGGATGATAATGATAACTCTCCATCGTTTCCCAAATCAACTCTCACAGTGGATGTGCTGGAGAACATGCGGATTGGAGAGCTGGTCGCCTCCGTAACCGCTACAGACTCTGACTCTGGATCCAACGCCGACATTACATACAGCATCTCCGCCACCAACAACCACGGCACTTTTAGCATAAGTCCCAACACTGGCAGCATTTTCCTGGTCAAAAAACTGGATTATGAAACGCAGTCTCTATACAAACTCAACGTCACAGCCAAAGACAGCGGAAGGCCATCCAGGTCTTCCTCCATTCCGGTCACCATTCACGTGAGAGATTTTAATGACAACCCTCCTGTTTTTACACCAGGTGACATTTTTAAATCCATCCCTGAAAACCTCCTGCTCTCCACTTCTGTCATGACTATAACAGCTCACGACACGGATGCCGACATCAACGGCCAGCTGGAGTACTCCATCGTCATGCAGACTCCTAGAGGTGGGCATTTCCACATTGACCCCACATCTGGAGTGATATTAACGAACAAGGAAATCGACCGAGAGTTCTCCAACCTTTTTGAGCTGACCATCAAAGCGACCGACCAAGCCGTGCCGGTCGAGTTCCGCCGTTTTGCTCTGAAAAACGTTACTATATGGGTTACGGACCAAAATGACAACATACCCGTATTTATCTCCCAAAATGCCCTAGTGGCAGAATCCAACATAGTAATCGGTTCCATTCTGACAACAGTAGTGGCTTACGACCCTGACGAGGGTGCCAACGGAGAGGTAGAGTACGAACTTGTGAGGGGAGATTCGGATACGTTTATCATGGACCGCTACAGCGGAGATATCAGACTAGCCTCTCAACTCGTTCCCTCAAAGCTCATCTACAGTCTGACCGTGTCTGCTACGGATCACGGCACGGATCGCAAGACCTCACGGACGGAGCTGACCATCATCCTTCAGGGTTCGGATGGCCCGGTCTTCTCCCAACACAAATACATCACTATTCTAAAGGAGGGCCAACCGCCTGGGACCAACGTCATCTCTTTGGATGCCTCCAGTCCACGTGGCACCGGCACCAAGGTGGAGTTTTTTATTGTTTCAGTCCGGAGCGGAGGGAAGGCCGTAGGCCGGCTTTTCACTATCGGCCGTCACTCCGGGGTGATCCAAACAGCTGCAAAACTGGACAGGGAGCAAGGCTCGGACCTCTACTTGATAGACGTGTACGCCATCGAAGCCGACGCCAGCCAGCCCAGAACGCAACATGCAGAGGTGAGTAATCACGTTTTTTTTGGGGGGAGGTGTCAGTGATTTTGATGGCTCTTGCATATTGTGCGAAAGGAAATCTATGGGAACATATTCTGAAACATGTGCTTAAGTCATTTGTGTGAATGTGGTGGAAAAACCTGAGCGAGTGTTGGATAACCGTACGTGCATTACTAAAGTTCCTGCTTGTTTTTTCCCCCCTGTTCTTTTTCAGACGATCTGGGTTGTATTAAATATAAATTGCTTTGCACTTGAGAATGTGGGCTTTGTTTTTTGGCAGGCTAGCGGTATTGTTTCAGCTCGGAGAGAGCACAGGCCTTAATCTCAGAGAGGAGCGCTCGCTGTGCAGAGAGGGGAACCCTGGGTAAAATGTGCTGCTTTGCGTTCCCGCTGCGACTGAACTCATCTCTGTTATCAGCAGTGACAAATTCAACAAATCAGACGCCCAGACAGCGTGATTGCAGATATTAATAACACGAAACCACAGGATGGAATTGTTTGTTTCTTTCTTATTGTAATCGTTTTCTGGTCAAGGAAAGGCAGGGTAAAAGGGAAATGAGTGGGGGAGATCCGCGTGTGGGTCTCAGATACCTGTCCCCCGCAGAGTAAGCGAGGAATTAGCTAGGGTTTGAATCGCCCCGGGCGATGTCGGAGCAGGGTGGTCTGTGAGACCCTGCTTTGTGCCACCAGCTTTGCCATTAAAGTGACCATTAAATTCAGCTGACCCTCTAAGTCTCAGTGAATAGAAATTTCCTTTCAGAGGTGGCTGAGCGGAGTAAGAGGAGGAATCTCTAAAAGTGAAACTTAATCCGCACGTTGAGTTGGTACATTGCGACGCATCTGCGTTGCTCCCGCTAAACTCTCCCTCGAGGGATAGAGTTAAACTCTCGGCTGCAGGAACCAGATGAAATTCTACACTGGGCTTGTGGGTTTGTGTGCACAGGCCTCTGCTCAAATGAAAAACAAATGTGATTCTATATATGTGTGTGTTTTGGAAACTTCAACTGGAACCGAAAATGTTATATTATTACAGGCTTGGTGATTCGCGTTTATAAAGTGGATTTTTTTCTCGTTCTCTGCTGCTGTGATGAAATGTGCTTTGTGTTAGAGTCTTGAAAATAGCTTCCCGAGAGGCGTTGCTCTCCATGCCGAGAGAAAGAGAGTGAGCGTAATTGAAGCCAAAACGTTTTGGGTTTGCTTTGCTTTGTTTTGTGAGGGGGTGTCATCGTTTGTGTCAGCTAACGGTGTGTTAAAGTGTCTCATTTGAAGTTGTGTGAAAGTGTCCATGTGAAGTGAAGATCATGTACAGCAGTGACAATGAAAGCAGATGTGGGTGATATTAGAGCTGCTCAAACTATGTGTGTGTGTGTGTGTGTGTGTGTGTGTTCTCACACACACACACACACACACACATGAGGGAAAAACGAGGTCCTCAACTGTTTTAATTGTCAATAAGTTTTTTAGAAATGTAAAAATGCAGGAAGTTTTCTGTTGGGGTTGCTCTGCAGTATGTATAAGTAGCTGTATATAACATTAGAAGTGCAATGTCCCATTTGGAAGTAAATTGTGTGTTTGTGTGATTGTTTGGCTTCATGGTTTCAATGCAAAATTACTTGTTTTCTTTATTAATACTCCTCTTGTTTGCCACTAAAAATATCCTTAAATTAAGAAATCATACAACTTTTCGTAAGTTGATGCTTGAAAGAAGGGAAAAAAATAAAAATAAATGATATCTTGTAAAAATGTTGCTTCTCAAGTAATTGTATTTGATTTTAGGATTTTAAGATGTTTTACTCAAAAACAAGGGAAACATACTGATCATCCCATTTGGACATTTAATATATGAAATATATTGCCTTTTATCGAGAGTATTATGTTATATATAGATATACATTTCTAATGTTTTTACTTCATATGATAATATATTTCATACATGGAAATGTAATATATGTATATACATTTTGTTTGCGTCTGACATAAACTATGAAAAATCACATCTCTCTTCGCCTCAACTCTGCTTTATACAGAAAATGTGTATTTTTTTGGGACATTATTTGAAGTACTTTGTCATATGATGTAAATAAATATGATAATCATTCAGTATGATTGTATGGGTTGGCTGTAATGTGTGTGTGTGTGTGTGTGTGTGTGTGGTTTCTTTCATATGACTGATTTAGGGCTGATTACTCGTCTCTCTCTCTTCTTCCTCATTACTCCCTTTCTCTCTTTTCTCTTTGAGCATTGGGAGGATGAGGGTTTGGACGGATAGACGTGTCCACATTCCTCTCTGAACCGTCTCTCTCTCTCTAGGCTCAGTATCTGTGTGTACGTCACTACCTGAGCATCACACCTGTGTCTGTGTGAGCTTCTGTAGCCAATCAGAATCACCTGAGAGTCGCTGCGTGTGTTTGGGTTTGAGCGAAGGAGTAAGTTTGGTTAAAGTTAAACAGACTTCACTCACAGCAGGCAAATAAAGTGAACATATGCACTGTAAAAAGTTATTTTTCAGTTGTAAATAAAGTTTATTGGACTAAGTTTTACATGAAAATAGCACTGTGTGCTCCTGTACTCTATGTGAGGCATTAATGGGTTAAGTGTAATGGCGTGCTATTGTTTCTCGCGGTGAGGTCTGTTTACTCCCAACTGTAGCTGATTGTGCTGCACTGAAAGTGTGGAGAAACTGATAAAGCTGATGTGCTTGAGTTCACCTACTATTCCTCTCATTATTATGTTTGAGTTAGGATTTTCACAAAACACAAAACTTACATGTCAGTCAGAGAGTTGACAATTTGGCTGAACAAGACTTTAAGTGAATGGACAACTAGTGCATTTTCTATAACACACACAAATGCATGGGATTTGCATTCCAAGAGAATTTAAATGGCTATGATCAGTGTTATTTTAGTATCAATGGGATGCTATTATAGTTTTTCTATTAATAGTAATAATTCGATTTTTTTAATATTTTGTTTCTATTTTATTTTTTGTTAAAGAATTAGTAATTGTTTTGTCTTTTTTTTAACTATAAAAACCCTGGTCTGGAGCTGCAGAGACATTTATTGCATTAACTGCATAAGACAATAAGACTGTTTTCAAAGAATAAATCCTAAATGCTGTGTATTATTCTAACGCCTTTTGCACATTTTCCCCTAGTTTTAAGCATAAACCCATTTCAGAAAATAAATCTTAAATGATTTAAATTATGTGTATTTTTCTTACCTTAATTTAATTTAACACTTTGTTAGATTTATACTTAAAACAATTTGCCATCGAGGTAAGAAAAATACACATAATTTAAGTTTTATTTTCTGAAAGCATGTCTTACGCAATTTAAAAACATATAAATATTTTACTGCAAAACAAGACAAAAACACTGATTTAGTGATGACGTTGAGATGACAGGAAGAATGGCACAACTGATGCATTCTGGGAAATGAAGTGTTTTTCCACCCTGGTCCACTAAAGTTGTATTTATTTAAATTTTTTTTTTTACTTTCAAACAAGGCATTGTTGTCTCAAAATGTATAGTTTGTCTTAATAAATGTAGCCTTTTGGTTAAAAATTAGAGTCCAGGCGGTTCAATTTATTTGATTTTCAGTTCATTTTAATTCAACTTTCTTACCTTCACATTGCAGTTCCCATCCATTTCAATTCAACAGTAAGTATTAAACTTATCTGAAGTGTTAGAGGTTTGATCACATCACTATGAGTATTAATACAGTGCATAAAATGTTGTATTTTAGACTTGTTTTCCAGCTCAAACATCAAACGATTCTTAAATCAAGATGCATTTACTGGAGATGCAACATGACTTGAGACATTAAACCTGTTTTATTTTTTTTACTTTCAAACAAGGCATTGTTGTCTCAAAATGTATAGTTTGTCTTAATAAATGTAGCCTTTTGGTTAAAAATTAGAGTCCAGGCGGTTCAATTTATTTGATTTTCAGTTCATTTTAATTCAACTTTCTTACCTTCACATTGCAGTTCCCATCCATTTCAATTCAACAGTAAGTATTAAACTTATCTGAAGTGTTAGAGGTTTGATCACATCACTATGAGTATTAATACAGTGCATAAAATGTTGTATTTTAGACTTGTTTTCCAGCTCAAACATCAAACGATTCTTAAATCAAGATGCATTTACTGGAGATGCAACATGACTTGAGACATTAAACCTGGTTTTCTGAAAACTGTATTAAAATCAACTGAAAAATGCATCAAAATCAAGTGAGTTCATGCTTAAAACAAGAACAAATATCTGTTGGTGGAGCCAGAAAAATAAACTTAATTCAAGGACAAAAACAGATTATTTTTCTGGCCTCATTGGAAGATATTTGATTTTGTTTTAAACCAAAACTAACTCAATTTTGATCAGTTTCTCAGAAAACAAGACTTAATATCTCAAGTCATTGTGCATGTATCCGGATTTAAGAATATTCAGATATATTGTACTGGAAAACAAGACAGAAATCCTGCGGAAGAACATGATATTTTTGCAGTGCAGTGATGGTTGACTTCACTAACGGCAGTAAATCTAATATTGTCTGGATCTTTCTTACATGTTAGCTGAGAAATTAATGCATTTGTTTGGGCTCATAGAAACGGTTGTTTGCTGTAATAGTCTGATTTTAAAGAGTCGGAGAATGGTGGTCGTACGCAGACGGCGCAGGAGCAGCGGCAGCCGCGTGTGTTTGTGTGTTCGGCTGCGTAATTGAAAACAGCTGCGTGTGTTTTTGAGTTTTTTTTTTTTTTTTGAGTGTGTGTGTGTGTGTGTGTGTGTGTGTGTGTGTGAGTGTGTGTGTGTGTGGGTGTGTGAGTGTGTGTGCATGTTTATGTGGTTTATGAGGACACAAATTTGTATAATAACATGTGTATGACATAGGTATTACAATGAGAAGGTGATTTATGAGGACATTTTCAGTGTCCCTGTAATTCAAAAGGCTTATAAATAATTCAGAATGAGTTTTTTTTCCTGTGAGGGGTAGGTTTAGGGGTAGTGTTGGT